TAGACACAATGAATTATGTGGTGTGTTGAAAGTAATTCCTTGTGTCGAAGCAGTTTTCTCAACAGAGACAAGAGAATGTTGAAGTAGGTGTGTCGAAAATGCTACACACAGATTTCATTTGTTTTAGATTTAGATAGATTTGATTTAGATCTAAAATAGATAGATTTGATTTAGTATCAAAATAGATATTTTGGGCTTTTATAGTTTTGGGCTTTGGTTTAGGGAGCAAGCTAACGTAAATCTATAAATAGAGAGTAACCCCTATTTTTGTAATCAAGTTAATTCATTGTAAAGTTTTCCACAGTTTACGGGCAGAGAGAAACTCTGCAGAAAATAATTGTCTTCTTTCTTTTCTTTTCTCATAATTCATTATTATTGTGAGGTGATATCAATCTTGTTCATCAAGATTGGTATAAATTTATCATAGATATTTGGTGGATTTCCAACACCCCCTGGGTATGTAAGTACTCATACCCGTATCCGTTACCCGCATTTCTAATAAAAAATAAATATATAAAGTATAAAATATCATATTATCTTAAGTTGTTAAGAACATTTAAATTTTTTCAATAAAATTATTGTTGAATTATTAAATAAAGGAACAATTATGTTACAAATGTAATGATTTAACATCGATGTATTTTTGGAAATGAATAGATATTTATTTTAATATAATAATATAAATTAAAGTATATATATATATATATATATATATATATATATATATATATATATATATATATATATATATATATATATATATATATATATATATATATATATATATATATATATATATATATATATATATATATATATATATATATATATATATATATATATATATATATATATATATATATATATATATATATATATATATATTGTGCGCTTATGGAGTAGGGGGTGAGTATTAAGGTGCACATACCTGCACTCATATCCGTTTATTTAAGTGGGTAATTACTCGAGCCCGTACCCATACCAATTTGTATGGGTTTTTATCGTATCCGTTATACGGACTTTTATGGATACCCATTAGGGATGAGCAAATTGTCATCCCTATTAAAGGATACCGTTAGGAGTGGAAAAACAGGCCGTCCGATCCGTCCTACCTTAAGTTCGTCAGAAAAAGAGCGGGACGGACAAGCCCACCAAGTAAAAATAGACATACAAATATAGCCCTCCTCGCAAAGGTGGCGGGTTGGCAGGCGGCTGACATGCCCGCCTATTTTTTTATTTTTTTTTATATTTTTGTAATAGATTAATAGACTTTTTTTATATCTCAATTAGATTTTGAGATTAATTGTCATGCACTATCAGTGTAAAAAGTCATCAGTGCATCACAACCACCCATAAATGTTACTTTATTAATAATTAAAATAAAATTCAAACCTAATTTAAAATCTAACAGTTACCATTCACTGACGGTGTAAAATTTCTTTACATTGTCAATGCATTCCAATTAAATTATTAGATTTTTCACTTATTTTTTAGAATAATTTTTTATAAAGCATCTTTTTAACAAATTTTAATTAAAAAATAGAGTTAAATGCCTTCTACCCCTGCAATAGTAGCGAGATTTGATTTATCCCTTTTTAAAATAGAGTTAAATGCCTTCGTCCCTCAACAAACATAGATTTCATAACCAAAAATCTTTTAGCCCAAGATTTCATTTGAAATGCATACGTGGCAGGATCTGTTTGCTAATTGGGTCATATTCTTTAAAATTCAAATGAAAAAATCTCAAAAAATTGCACCTACAAGGATTCAAACCCAGGAATCTTCCCTCATTTATCAAACATCCAATCAGCTTTGTTGTTGCAAATAATTACTTCAAAAATTAAAATAAATACCTTTAATAAGTTTCTTCAAAACATCAGTGCAATCTCCTAACCATCACTTTAAAACAACAATTCTATGGAATTTCTGGGTTGTTCATTAATCGTCTCAATATGGCTAATTATTTGTTACATACTTGATTTGAACTGATGAATTTCCACTTCCACTGTACATCGTTTGTGGGATTAATTGTTCCAGATCCTCCTTAATTATCCAACGATAACAACAATTTTTAACCTCTAAGTGAAAACCAATGGGCCGCCCCACTATAGTGAAAAAAGTGATCCAACTCAAGGGTAATAAGATGTTTTTCAAGATGTATGTGAATAACTGAAAAGGGTAAACACATAATCACCCTTGAACTAACCAATAGGCATTTGTGTTACTAATATTTTCATACAAATTTGTGGTTTAATGCATTGCTTGATTTCTTCATGCTTTATAACTTTCAGAAAAACCTGCCCCGAAGAAACAAAAGGTAGAAGTGGAGTTGGAAACAAGAAGTGTCGAACCTACTCCTTTTGTAATTATATCTGACTCACTTGCTAACTTTTTTGGCGTTACTGGAAGGGAGATGCTACCATCAGAGGTTCTGAAATGTATCTGGGAGTACATAAAGGTCAACCGTCTAGAGGTAAGCAGTAGAGTTTAGATTTATACTAAGTTCACGTGCAATGGAATTGCTGCATTAAAGTTAAGCATCACAGTTCATGATAAGATAATCATTGTTAGCTTGATTGTTTTGCTAGCAAGTTCATATTTTTTTCTTTCAGTACATAAATTTTTATCCATATTTTTTTTTTGCATTACAACTATTTTTTGTTTTACATTGCAGAGTTAAATCTAGGATCAAATCTTGAAATATGAAGTCTTTGTTAGTCTAGTTTATTTATAGTGCTCTAGTATTAGGCACATAAATAAGTTCTTGCATTTTCACGTGAACATAAGCTAATTGGTGTTCAAGCTTCTATGACAATGAACACTTGAAGAAAAATATGATTATAGCAGTTTATTTTAATTTTTGAGGTAATTATTTGCAACAACAAAGTTGATGGTGCAGTGTTTGGATGTTTGATGAATGAGGGAAGATTCCTAGGTTTGAATCCTTGGAGGTGTAATTTTTTGAGATTTTTTTCATATGAATTTCAAAGAACATGACCTAGTCAGCAAACAGATCCTGCCAAGTCTGCATTTCAAATGGAATCTTGGGCTAAAAGGTTTTTGGTTATGGAATCTATGTTTGTTGAAAGGCGAAAAGAAAATTATTTTTAGAAGGGGGTAAATCAAATCTTGCTACTATTACAGGGGTATAAGACATTTAACTCTAAAAAATATTGCATATATTCACAAATAGATGTATAAAATAAAACCAACAAGAATTAAAATTACTATAATTAACTAAAAAAGGACGGGCTTAAGGCGGGATGAGCTGAACGAATATGCAGAGCGGGCTTTGGTGTGAGGCAAATTTTGGCGAGGCGGACTTTGGTGGACGGAGGACCCAAAATTCTAACTCATCCCACCATTTCTTGGTGGGTGCGCGGGCCGGTTCGGTGGATCACGACACGTTTTGCCACCCTAGATACAATGATATTAGGTATGCTTCTAAAAAAGATACAACCTATATTTTTCTATTATTTCTTTGAAAAATGAATTTGCCAAAATTGAGTTGAGAGAATTGATTTTTGTTTTGTTTTGTAATATATATCGAATTCATTGTTCTATATCTTTCTTTATAAATTATATTTTAATAAAAATCAATCAAAATTGTTCTCAAAATAACTCGAATTGACTGTCTTAGATAAATATAGAAATAGTAGAACTCAATACTTGAATTGGTCTCTGTAGATGATACTTATTTTATTACTTTGATATTATCGTACATTTGAGACGTGTCAGCTCTCTAATCAACTAGGTTGCGGTGCTAATTAAATAGACAGTGAGAAAATAGGATACCCTAATTTGAGTTTGCTCCTTAATTGATTAATTGACTTCCTAATCAATTATGAGGCTGACTCGCTCCGTAATTGAGTAGCAGAAAGCTCTAATTGATTAGACAATAAATTTTTCTTTTCTAATTTGTCTGGATTGTTTCTTAATTGATTAAGGACTTGCCATGATTGGTTTTTAAAAGAGATGTGGAATAAATGAAGAGATTTAAAAGGTTTTTAGTGTGTGCGTATACCACGGTACACATTAAGATTTACTCTTTGCTTATTTTACATATTACTGATCAAAAAGGCTAAAAACATGAAGTGCACGAAAAGGTAAACTTTTATATCTTTAATTCCTTTCAAAGTTGATTTTTGAATTTGTTTTACCTTATTTTGCTCTCAATATTGGAATTTGATCAACTTTTCTTTTTATGATTAACTTTGTGTTGTTCTATTGTCATCCTTAAAACCTCAAAATACTTTAACCTACACGATACATAGAGCCACACCATCCAGATTCAATTAATTTGTTTAACATTTTCTCATCTGTATTGGCGATGGGTTCCACTTATAAAACCAACAAATATCTCCTACTATTGCTTGAGTTTGTGAGTGTCACTTCTACTGAGATATACTCAATACATTTTCTTATAAGATTTATTGGAAGGAAAACAACACCATTTGGGTTTTAGAGAGGTGTTTCGTGATTTGTTGAAATCTCCAAATAGCAATCCCAAGGTAATTGTGAGTAATCAATACAATACATATTGTTGTCAAAATTTCCCAAGTCTACTATTGTATTTGTATAACATCTCTAAAAATGTTCGAGTAATATGTACGTAAGATGGATGTTAAAGTAAAGTATTTAAGGTTTAAGGATGAGAAAGAAATTAAACTAACAGAAATGTGAAAAACTGTCATGGATGCGTGGGAAAATAAAGTGGAATAAAGCGATACCATCGAAAGTTTCTTGTCTGGCGTAGAGAGTGCTACAAAATAGAATTCCTACAAAGATAATTTAGTCCGAAGGGGAGTATTATCTAATAGCCAAATAGGTTGTGTCGGGGAGTGTGGAAGAGAGGAGTCGGTATCTCACTTTTTTTTTAGTATCCAAAATTTGCAGGTGTATGGAGTCTCATTTGCAACTGGATAGGAATTTATACAAATCTGCACAATGATGGAAGGCAACATCTTGAACATTTTGAAAGTCTGCTTGGAACACAAAGAATGCTAACCTTGAAATTAAGAGCTATTTGGGCTGCATGTGTGTGGTGCATATGGAGATATAACAATAAAGTGTTCCGAAACGAGGAAATACAAATGGAAAAATTGGTAGAAGAGGCAAAGATTTTGGCTTGGAGATGGCTTAGATTAAAGTCAAATCATATTGCTGATGATATTGTCGCATGGTGCAAGAATCCTAAGGCGTGTTTCGGCAAGTACGAGGATTGAGAATTTGGGAGTATGTAGAGCTGTTGTGGTGCCCCTTGTTTGTGTGTGCCGCTCAGAGATCCAGTCGCCGGTATTTTCTCGTCTGTCTGTGTTTCAGCAAGGCCGTTTTGGTGCATAGAAGCGTTCATCGTCGCTTCGTATTGACTGTTTTCAGTTAGGGAGTTTATCGGGTTTGTTGTCTCTATGGATGTGCTGCTGATTGCGTCGGTGGTTAAGCTTGCTCGCTGCTATGTTTTGGCCCGAGTCTGCTCCTTCTGATACTTCTTTCTAATTAATCTGCTTAAGTTTTTTCTTTCAGGATCTGTATTCTATTATTAGAGAGTTTCACTGTTTTTGCAAAATTGTGCTGTACTGGTTTTTTGGCATCCCTTATGCCAAGTTATAATGTTATATTCTTTTGCTCTTTCAAAATAATAATAATAATAATAAAAATAAAGTGTTGTCTTATTCAGAGGAAATATATCTTGATTCTCATTGTTTCTTCAAAACTACACGTGCAAACTTTCTCAAATTTTGTAAGTATGTGTAAGGTACTATATTTTGAAAGTAGTAATGGCTTTAACTATCTGTGTGGTGCGTATTGGAAATACAACAACCAATATGATTGAATTTATTCAAAGTAGATTAAAAATTTATTTGGCCTATAGTGTGAGCAATTTCTTAAACTAAGATGAATGACCTTTGTTTATGCATCAATATTTTGAAAACATCATCGATGTTGAAGGAGATAGTTTTTGTTGATTTCGTGTAGTTTTTGACTACTTGGTCGTTCTGTTGAATATCATTCCACCATCTATCTTGATCAGAAAAATAATTCAATCAGGTCAAACACGCTCTGAATCCTACAAAAATTGCCCAATGCTTGATTACAAAGGAGCACACATTCAACAACAAAAATGCTTGTCATCATAAAGTTTGGCACTTCTAAAATTTCTCTACTCATGAAATCAATTAATAATCAATAATAACAATTGAGATAGTAACCACTCAAGTAAGATCCGGCGCTCACGAAGAATATACAAGTAATCACACCGAAGGATCCTAACTAACACAAATTACGCGAGTTCATCTCTAGCTGCAGACACTGATCTATGTTTTTGCTCTTCAACAAATTTCAACAAATTTCAAAAGCAGTTCATGGATGCATGCATATATAGGTTCCTCTTCAATGCTTAGATTGGCTCCTAGCAGCACTTCGTCTCGCACAGCATCCCACAAAGTATATGATAGACTGGCGTACAGAATAAAAGTCAAGTGAGATTATTACAAGGTGGATTGAAGAACTTGTCTTGATTGTTTTGTAAACATACGAAGAGGCAGCAATGTCTTACCAAACCAGCAAATAATACGACATTGAATATTGCAACAACTCTCCACTCGATTTTCATGTATTGCGCCACGCCGGCCCTGGAACCAACATTCAGAAAAACAAAATGGCAGTGAGACAATGGACTCGTATCTAGAAAAACATAAATGGAACAGGACAACCATAAATGGCTTCATTACTACCATTTTGCGTGTATAATGTCACAAATTATAGTAATAAGTGTTTTATAGAGTAAAATATATAGTAACGGAGCCCTATACTCTTTTCAGAAATGGAGAGGATTCGTAATCGATAATCAAGCATGCTTACTTGCAAGAATCACAATCGTAGCATTTGACAGCTCGAGAATTTTTGTACCGCTTGCAGTCATGGTTAGGACTAACTTGATGAAAGCTCAAGTCATAGTAGGATGCATTTACAGCAGGATATCCACACCTAAGTTACATAAAATCCCAAAAGATATAATAAGAATTTCAGAGTTCGAAAACTAAACTATACTCTAAATCGAAACAAACTTGACTGGTTACTATAGATAAAGAAATTCTTCGGAAAGAATGGAGAACCTACTCAGAAGGCGGTCGGCAGCAGCCAGATTCAATTGGACACAATTTAGCTAATTTATATTGTTTCAGAGTCTACATAACATGAAGATTATAAAAGAGGTTAATAATCGTTTTGTGAGTGTGGAAAATAGCAGAGAATCAGAATTCGATTTTGTGGAATAGTATAGATCACACCTTATATTTTTTGGATAGATTGTTACAGTTTTCGGTTTTGACCAGACAAACCCTCAATCGCTTCCAATTACGAGAATTGTTTAACTAAAAGCAGACAAAAAAAATCAAGGAAACGAATGCTGGAGTGTCCTGTACACCATTGTTTCTCGGTTAATAAGAGTCTTACCTCTTTGAGAAACCAAGAGCTATAATCTTGAAGGTGATACTCCTTGTACCTAAGCATATAATAAGTGTGTCAATTATTGAACCGAATCTCGCAATGTTCTCAAGAATGTAGCACTTGACTCGTTTACCTCAAACCAGTCACGCTATGACCTGATCCATTATTAGTCACAATGAATCTGAAACAATGGCAGAAGATTGCATAAGCAATTACAAGAAATGATGATGTAGAGTGACAATAACTATCAACAAACATGCACACTTACACCAACACTGTGAAAACTAAGATTCCCACCAAGATGAAGAACAGCATGATGAGATACTGCAAGTGCAATGTCAAGGAGGATTCCCTTATTTTTCAATTTTATGGTTTGTAGTAAATATATAACATATGACAAGGATACAACCCATAACAATATGGCGCTTCTTTTCTTAGCACCCAAAAAACCAACTATGGATCTGTACAAAAAAAAAGGCAATAGAAGAGAGTAGAGTAATAGAAAAGATTGAAAAGAAAATAAAAGACCAAGAATGTAAAAAAAAAAAAAAAACTAACATTAAGAAAATAACAGCCCCAATGCTTAGCACAGGGATAGTAAGAGATTTTGTGCAAGCATCATGACGAGTACTCATCCACATCCCAAATGTTACCACAACCATTGCCAAAACCTGCACAATGAGAATAGCACAGACACTTCAAATTGTAGACATGTTTAGTGTCCGACCCTAACATGTTCAACTGTGAATGTTAAAGAGAAATGCAAGTGAGAAAGAAGAAGATTACCATGGTGAGAAAGTTGATCCATCGAGTAACAAAGGTGCTAGTTCCCATTCCCATTTTATCTGAAGATTATGAGCTAGAGGAATGTGTTTATTTGTTCAAATAGTTCAAATGATGAGATATGAATGGTGATAGAGACGCGCACATGTATCATGTATGATGAAGATGCGGCACAGGGTGTACAAGGCAAGGAACAAAACCCAACACACCAAAGACTGTAACAGTGAGTGAGAAAAGCAACATAACAAAAAAGCTGTTTTTAATGGATTATTATAATACTAAATATTTCAAACTTGGGTTGTAGTACTGTGGTTTTAGTTTTATCGATGACAGAGAAACAAAAACTAAAGTACAAGAAAGTGTAAGCAAGATAAGGAAGATTGGCATTGCATGTGAATAGGGTTCGACCAAAATAGTTCAACATATACGAGTATAAGACAACCAATATATTTGAAAATTTTAATGTCATTTTCTTCAAATTTACATCTCCCTGTTTTATTTTATTTTTTTAAAATTACTCTAAAAATATCCGTAAAAAAGAAAAACTCTACATCTCCCTATTTTATTTTATTTTTTAAAAATTACTCTTAAAATATCGGTAAAGAAAAAAAATAATCAAGAAGAAATCACAAATTTTACTTTTCGAACATTTAAGATAAAAATGATAAAATTGCGATAATTTTTACTTTTTTTTTTAAAATCTGATACGTATTTGTATAAAAGTAGTGCTATATAGTAAAAATCATTTGAATAAGAAAGATAAGAATGTATATTTGTTATTGTTTTAGAGAATGATTTTAAATTTATTTTAAATTTAATTTTTTTGAATAAGAAAGACAAGAATGTATACTTGTTATTATTATAGAGGATAATTTTAAATTTATTTTAAATTTAATTTCCTTTTTAATAGAAATCATGAGATAGTGATAATAATGAATGATTGAGACTTAATTCTTGCATTTCTTGCTTTCATACTTTCTTATTTATAGATTAATTTTTTTCCATTTAATCTTAAATGGATGAAGATGAGATGAATGAAGCTCTTAGAAGATAACATGAAAGAATATGGGTGTTTGCGGACCGGTTTGATTCAGTTTTGAGAGAATCGAATATTTAAATCGATTAAAATTATATGGGTTGGTTTGGATTTTCAAATTTTTATGATAAAGCCCAAACCAAACCGAACCGAGAATCAACGAGTTGGTTTGGGTTGGATTGTTCGGATAGATAAAAAATACAAAAATATTTGAAAAAAATAACTTATTTACGAAACTTAATTTTTTATAATAATATAAAAAATATAGTATTAATAGTGTTTAATCGTAAATATTAGACTAACAATTTTTCCCTAATAGATTCTAAAATATCTAACAAGAAAATTATATAACATCAAGACTTTTGAATCTATAATTAGTCACTTGAGTTATTATGATAATGAATGTATTTCATAGCTCTACGCTCAATTACCAAAATACATTAACAATTTTCTAATAACAAATTAAAATAGAATAACTTGTCAACATATGACATTTCACTTTTTTTCTTCTTGAACTTGAATGATCGATAATAACTTTCATGATAATTAATTATGGTTGGTTCAGGTTGGGTTTGTGGGTAGAAAATTGAAAATCCGACACCCGAATTGATTGTCATTGGATTTCATTGGTTTCGTTCGGTTCTTGCCCGGACTGAAAAAATATTCCACTCAAATATTATGGTTTGATTCGGATTCTTGTTTGGTTCGGATTTACCCGAACCAATGAACACCCCTATGAAAGAGAAGCCAATTTCATATAGGCTTTAAGAATTTGTTCACACATGAGAAGTTATTTTTCAAGATTATGATAATTGATTGAGAACTTGTTTTGATGAATGTTATCGAAGTTGTTTTTCCAACCACGGTCTACCTATCACGTAGTTTTCATTTTGTGAAAAATGCTGGTGCAAAATGCAATGTGTTTTTCGAGGAGAATATGCAAGAGTATGTGATGAA